GATCACAGACCCCTGGGGTACTCCACATATAACCCTTCTAAATTGTGACACTGTCTTATTAATTTTCACACACTGTCTGTTTTCTAAGTAACTTTTAAGCCAAGAATATGCCACCCCTCGTATCCCATATATCTCCAATTTTCTCTATAATATGTCATAATCTATAGTATTAAATACCTTTTGTAGATCAATATATATTCCAACAGAAAGTTCCTCATTTTATACTGCATCTGTTATTTCCTCTACCATCTCAATTACTGCATGAAGTAGTTCTATTGTTCCTRAAGCCATACTGATGTTCGCTTATTATATTACATTTGTCAATAAAYAAATCCAGTTGTTCAGTAAATAATTTCTCTAATATTTTTTGAGAACTGCAGTAGAAGGGAATCTGGTCTGTACTTTTTAATACATGTTTGTCTCCATGTTTAAATATTGGTGTGACCCTYGCTATTTTCATATTATTTGGAAACACACCTTTTTGGAAAGACAAATTAAATATATATGTTAAAGGTCCTGCARTTTCACAAAACGTTCACATCAAACAGGCCACATTTATACATCACATCGATCAGCTTCAGCTGTGAGCAGCAGCACCTGTCTGGTGGGTTTGGTCGATTCCTGCAGCCGAGGCAAACTCTGGTTTGTAATCAAACTCCACGATCCTCATCTGTGTGATCCTCTTCAGCTGCTGCTCAGAGTCCACCTGACAGACGAACAGATCTGTGGTAAATAAGAGACACTAGAAGAAGAAGAAGTCGTTTTTATTTTTTTTGTTATACCTCCTGAATGTTCTCTTTGGCGCGGCTGTCGGACGGTTGAATGATGGCTCCCATCACTTTAGCGTTKCCACAAACCACCAGAGCCTCATCAGGAGAGTCTGTATTGATGCCAACTCGACCCTGACAGACCACAGCTTCCTGTCCCGCCCCTCGCTGCCACAAGGTGTCGCTGTCCATCTCAAACTGACCGGGGTTGGACGCCTTCAGAAGGAAGATGTTTAGTTTGCTCTCTGGCTATTTTCTTTGTTAATAAATTATTWAAAATGTTTTTTTACCCTGACGATGATTCTCTCAGACACCAGAGCAGTCAGAAGGAAAGTCTCTTCTCTGACTGCAGCATAAAGACCAACCACCATCTGAAAGTACCTGCAGAAACACACAATTAGCATGTAGCACCACAGCTAGCATGCAGCACCACTGTTAGCACACAGTTATGTTAGCATGTAGCTTCACTGTTACCATGCAGCACCACAGTAAGCATGCAGCACCACTGTTAGCACATAGTTATAATGTTAGCATGTAGCTTCACTGTTAGCATACAGCACCACAGTAAGCATGCAGCACCACTGTTAGCACACAGTTATAATGTTAGCATGTAGCTTCACTGTTAGCATGCAGCACCACAGTAAGCATGCAGCACCACTGTTAGCACATAGTTATAATGTTAGCATGTAGCTTCACTGTTAGCATGCAGCACCACTGTTAGCACACAGTTATAATGTTAGCATGTAGCTTCATTGTTAGCATGCAGCACCACAGTAAGCATGCAGCACCACTGTTAGCACAAAGTTATAATGTTAGCATGTAGCTTCACTGTTAGCATGTAACACCACAGTAAACATGCAGTACCACAGTTAGCATGCATAGCTACAGATAGCGTGTAGCACCACAGTTAGCATGTAGAACTAAAGTTAGCATGTAGCAGCACAGTTAGGATATATAGCTACAGTTAGCATGCAGTACCACAGTTAGCGTGTATACCTATAGATAGCGTGTAGCACCACAGTTAGCGTGTAGCACTACAGTTAGCATGCAGTACCACAGTTAGCATGCAGCACCACCGTAAGCATGCAGCACCACCGTTAGCACACAGTTATAATGTTAGCATGTAGCTTTACTGTTAGCGTGCAGCACTGCAGTAAGCGTGTAGCACCACAGTTAGCATGTAGCACTGCAGTTAGCGTGAAGCACCACAGTTAGCATGTAGCACCGCAGTGAGCGTGCAGCACCACAGTTAGCATGCAGCACCACAGTTAGCATGTAGCACCACAGTTAGCATGCAGCACCACAGTTAGCATGTAGCACCACAGTTAGCGTGTAGCACCACAGTTAGCATGTAGCACCACAGTTAGCATGTAGCACCGCAGTTAGCGTGTAGCACCACAGTTAGCGTGTAGCACCGCAGTGAGCGTGTAGCACCGCAGTGAGCGTGTAGCACCACAGTTAGCATGCAGCACCACAGTTAGCATGCAGCACCACAGTTAGCATGTAGCACCACAGTTAGCATGCAGCACCACAGTTAGCATGCAGCACCACAGTTAGCATGCAGCACCACAGTTAGCATGCAGCACCACAGTTAGCATGTAGCACCACAGTTAGCATGCAGCACCACAGCTGTTCAGTTTTGACTGTCGTACCTCTGGTCAGGGTTGGGTTTGCCTTTCTTCCTCATGTTGTTGGATGTCGTCTCACTGAAGTGCAGCCGGCCGAGTGTCACTTTGCTGATTTTTCCAGCAGGCAGACTGACCCTGGAGGATGACAAATTAAAGTTTTTATTTCATATTTTAACAGTCCTGGTCGAACGTTCACACAGCTCCTGTTTTTTCTCTGTACTCCCACAGAGCCTGGTGGGGTCACGTTAGCATCGTGGCTGCAGGAGTAAACTACAGGAAGTACCTGACGGGTTGGAAGTGCTTCTTGGAGCGGTCTGRTTGAGACTGCTCGATGGTCACCTGCTGACTCGGGGTTTCAAGCTACAAAAAGACACAGAGGTTTGGATTTATCTGAGAATGGACTGGACAACAACCCACAGCTCCATCCCAGTGAAGAACTGGTTTGATCCAGATCACTCACCTTAACTCCAAACACCTTTAGCAGGAAGTGATCAACTTCCTGAGGCCCATTTGGAGTTCTGACAAAGTGCGGCTCTGCAGCCAGCCCGATGTGAACGGTGACCTGAAAGTGGTTCTTCTTCTGGCAGACGAAGGCTTCGTCAGCTGTGGAGTAGTTGAAGCCTTTATCTGTGTTGACGTGGAAGGCAGGAGACGACCTGAAACACAGAGAACCTTTACACGACTCATCACAGCTTCAACCCCTCACCTGTCTGCACCTGTACTCACAGGGTCTGGTAGCTGCGGTTCAGCAAAGTGCTCCAGTGTTCGGTTCTGTACGGTTCCCATGTCAGCAGCTGGGAGGACCCAGGACCCGGTCCATTCACAGTGGTCCCAGCACTACGAGTCCCATCACCTTCACAACAAGCGGGCTCAGATGCAGACAGGTCCTCAGACTCAGACCTCCTCCTCTTTTTACTGTCCTGGGAGCTGATGGAAGAAGTGACAGATTCTGTCGCACTCAGTTTAAACAGGTTTTAATATGGTGCAGTGTGAGGGACAAAACTAAGACTGTTGTTCAACCAGCAGTCGCTACATCCTTATTTAAGGAGGTTATATCTATTCCTGAACCAGCTATTGATCAGATTAATGATAGGCTGGCACCGCTAACTGAGGCTGGAGCTGACAAATGAAGAGACTATTCATTTCTGTTAGCATGGGAGAGGGTAACGACTAGCATGGACAAGCTGGAGTTAGCATTGGAGAGGCTAGTGACTAGCATGGACAAGCTGGAGTTAGCATTGGAGAGGCTAATGACTAGCATGGACAAGCTGGAGTTAGCAACGGAGAGGCTAACGACTAGCATGGACAAGCTGGAATTAGCATTGGAGAGGCTAGTGACTAGCATGGACAAGCTGGAGTTAGCATTGGAGAGGCTAACGACTAGCATGGACAAGCTGGAGTTAGCATTGGAGAGGCTAGTGA